ACAATAATCAAACCAGCGGTCGTGCAATCTTGAATTCATTACTTTCGGAGATACCTTATGCTATCTTCGGGTTTCACGATTATGTACTGCGTATAGTTATGCAAGTATTCTCTTTCTGTGACGAGCAGAAAACGAAGGTTGGTGGTACCTTAGTTACCGAATTCGATGTACACTCAAACCGAGTGAGTCGGATCAGACTGTCAGCATACTACGATGAACACAACAACACTCAGCCCGCACATAATCGATTACTCTGATTTCAGTGGTGAATGGTGAAAGACACTATCCGACTGTTTTGACTAACCGACAGTTTTGCACAGCTAAGTGGTCAAAATACAATATAATTAGCAACAAATTCATGGATTCATATAACTATTCTTTCACCTTGCGATAGATGTCGGATATTTCGGTCTTGATGATACTAATCCGCGTACCTGAGCTTCGGAATTCTCAAACCACAGAGCTAAGCTCCATTTATTGATAACCGACTGATCATATGGCCACCCCTTTTTAGGCTTCAGAAGTGAAATGGCGAATACACCAAAGGGTGGAAACGAAACGGAAGACCCTGCCAGCATAAGAAATATATTATGTGGATTGATTTCCGAATTGAACAAAATGAGGGCCGCCAACTAAATCGCTGACCTATATGGCTTAACTCTAAGTTTGTACGCTGTAAAATATGAGCCGACACTCATCAGCGTTATTATTAGGCCTCATTCGATTTCTAATAGACACCTCCCTGACTCGAATGTCATACTATTAGGCAACAGTGCGAGAACTAACCAAACTACTTGTTTGCCGCCCAACCATCCACGCTCACATAGAGCGCGGTAATGGAACTGAAGTATCCCGCTAAAAATTGGAGGAATTAACGGATGATGTAAAAGAACAAGCGATGATTAGGGAATTATACTCGGTTTTAACCAGTGAATCACCTGAATCCAAGTTGAATCTCTCGTTTTTGACCAACGGTAACTTTTATCATTATGCCGGCATGCCTAGGCCAGCTGATGACAATCAGCTTGGATGACTGCGATTGGGTTCGACAACGCGACAGTTAGACTTATGCGGGATTTTCCAATTCGTCAGCCTAGGTTTGGGTCTCGGCTCGTGCACAGGTCATCTATTTTTCGGTCGAATTCGCATACGTCCATGCCGACGGTTCTTACTTATCCCGTCCACTTAGTTTGACGACAAAATGCGATTTGAGTTACTCGTTTTATGCATGCTAGTTGATATATCTGGTAATGTACTTATGAGACCACGAAAATTACTCCCTATAGACGAACAAGTTTTTTTCTCCAGCGTTAAAATAAGCAGACGAGGAAACATCAGAAGGCATAAGGAAAACATGTGACCAAGTCGAGGAGCAGACGGAGAACTTTGTATTTGATAACACAGTCGTTTCCCTTCGAGCTATTGGCGATTCCCACACACGGCTGCAAAAGGCAGGTTTATGTTGCACTAATTAAGACCCAATGAAAGTTTTCATGTGTGTTACAGATATCAGCACTCGACTAGTGATTTGGACTATCAAAAGGTGAATGCGTTATAACGCTTCCCATGCTTCTTATCCAGCCTACGGTTATGTAATGACTGACTTACTCGCTTTATAGAAGTTTTCAGCCATCATATGAGTGGTATGCTACGTTCAGGTTAGTTTAGTTACACGTGGATCCTACTGGTCATGCCTCGAATTAACCAATCCGTTGAAAAGGAACAAGTTTCTATTAGATAAACTTGTCTAGAACGAAATACAGAAGTCGCTTGACTGAGAGTGAGCAGAACACAACTGCGTTATTGAATTATCGTTGTGAGACGGATAACGGGAGTGCCACACCTTTGAATGTGCGTAAACATTGGGGTTATCGGAGAGAGTAAAAAGGAATAAAAGACTTGTAGTAAACCTATTCGGGACAAACATAAAATTACCCAGCTTACGGTACTTATTATCTCACCAACCAAGTTATGAAGCACCTAATGAGAGAAAATAGAAACGCACTCTGTTGATTTCACATGCTACAACCAAAAGAATGTTACTGCTGAAAACCGATAGCCCAGAACTTCGACAAGCGCATTCAGTGAAAACCGGAGATGTTGAAAAAATAGGAGGGGGATTCACTGAAATAAGATGGATGTCCAAGTCTACACAAGATAGTGGTTAACTGGCTTTGCGATCGACAGTGAAAAACTGTCCACCGAAATGACAGGGGACCTATTTTACTGCGTTTACTGCTTCGATTACATCCCACCTCTATAGCGGCCATCTCCAAGTCCAAGTTTCATGATAGTAGTGCTTCACAGATCATCCTAGGTTGTTGTGTAATGTCGCAACCCGTAACCGATCCTGATACGCTGGTTGATGAGTCCCGTCGAGGAGAAAACCCGTGACGGATTTCTTTCCTTTCCTTTTACCTTTACATTCAACATCATCAAAATATGCGAGACCAACTTACACAGCCAACGTCTAACCTGTGCTATTGGATATGGGAAAGCTTACGGAAGAGAATATTGGTATTGTTCGGTAGACGTTGCAAGCGACTTGACATCAAAAGAGGTGGCAGCAGCGTGTCATTTCGTGTCCTTGCTCTACGGGGGAGAATATCCACCACATAACACTGTACACATGATTTGATCTCATCCTGCAATCCGAACGTCCAATCCACAGGGAATCCTTTCCAGGTTTTCCTTAATTTCCAGCATGATATCGCAGCGAACTCATGATTGGAAAAAGGTAGCAGTGATTTGTATCATAGTCACGAGTTAGATGCGAATGATGTTCAGGCACGATACTCTGTGAAACCAGCTGATAGCTCCCAGTCCAATGTAAACGTAGATTAAGTAGTGAGGGATAGAATAGGTCCAGACAGTATCTTCGAGGCGGGCGCGTTAAATAACTTCTGGCGTCGTTGAAACTACTGTGAACGGAAAATCCTTGCAATCGTAAACAATGCTGCATAAAACAAGTTTTTCTTTTAAAACAACACTTAAAAACATCATTTTTCCAAACACGAGTAAGATTTTCAAGGCTACATTTTGCTCAGGTTTCTGGTACTTATAGGTAAATTTTAATACTGGAATTCCCAAACCAGTTCAGTCCCTGGTCATTCCTGGACAGTGTTCAGGGTATCATGCGAAAATATTACTGGGAAGTATCCCAAGTTTTGCAGCTTTTGTCTACACTGGGACGTATCAAGCATAGTGATCTAGACAAACACTAGGATAGATACACCCGCTTCTCGTTATCATTTTCTATCCTGCCCAATCTGGCCCACTCGCCAGCTGGTAAAGTGCCCGCATTTTCAACTTGGAAAATAAGGTTGCTAAGGTAAAGATAAAAAATGCCTCTACAGTGCTATCCCCACATGGCAATTTTATCAACCATCTTCTCGGAGCTAGCCAAACCAAATGTGTTCCACTTAAGACCCTCTGAGTAGACTGTTATTCTACCCCAACCCTGTATCACACTACGCACTTGTTATGGAAATAAAGCCCCATTACACGCAGTCGGTTGAGCTGTAGGTTTTCCACACTGAGAGTTGATATATTCTGAGGATATTTGCGTGCACACACACACACACACACGCAGACACGTAAGTGCCTCAACCAAGAAACTATCTTATCAATGCTTTTTATCACAATCCTCATCCGCTTATATGCCCATTACCAGTTGGTATTCTAACTCATCCTACAACAAAATTATGGTTGTCGCCTGCCGTCGTATGCTACTCATGCACTATATGCATTTTCTCTCGGTATGATCAGTGAGCATCTTCCGACTGGGCGTAACAGTTTAATGAGAGCCATTAGCATAAGCGGCCCAATTTGATGACCAGTTAACATCATCCAAGCAACAAGCATGATTATTGGCAAAAAAAACCACGGCTTATCATTTCATCATCAGCTTTCTTTGGGTTTGTCCAAGTGACCGCAGTCAGCCTCAGGGAATACTGACGGCGGTCATTAATGGAACCAGTTGATCATATCAGTCGTGGTCCCAATCCCGGGTGGAAATGATGACACACATGAAGTCTCCAATGCCCGTGTGTTTCCTTCTGATTCCTGATGAAATGTGAGATGAGTGTCTCCAACTTCTCCTTGGTTTAATCAAGTCTGTATGTTGCTTTCGTCCATACTCACAATTTCGGTCAGAGGTTTGTGTGAGAAAGTAGTATTGAAACCACTGAACACTTGGCTGTTTCCGAGTAAGAACGCTTAAGTAGTTTATTTTTAGAAGTGTGTATGATGAAATCTAGGCTTTTCGTCCAATGTTCATTTTTATTGATGACGAAAACCCTAGTCGGGTTCAACAGTGAGAGGAATTCTATTGCTGAACAAGTGGAGTAACGATGACGTAAAGATTCCACCATGTTATTCTGATTTACTCGACAAACCTCCGAAGATAAGACGACTATCACAAAAGCCCATCTGAGATACTGTGACGATGAAATTCTCCATTTCCCCATATCCGAATACCCGTGTGATTTTTCTGGTGACACCTCTGGGCAGTTTGTTCCGTGAACGAACAGGTACGGATCAAAAGAGACTGTTATCGCTCAATATATTAACCCTCCTTCGGTAGGCCAGCGGACTTTGCGAAATGAAGTTGCGCGAGGTTCAACGTAGAGCCGACAAACAGCCCTACTTATTGACAAAGGTCTTGATTTCTTTCACCGTTCCAGTTGCAGTTGAACCTCGATTTTCTCTCCATCCGAAGAGTCGATCGATGAAAGTGCCATTTTCCGAAAGATGCACCACCAGTTTCGTAACTTATAAATGACTAACAGAAAAGCGTGCCGAACAAACGTATGATTAAGGTCCAATTGCCTGGGTTTAAACTTGAACTTCGATAGACGTGAATTTGACACGCATCTAGGTAAGAACAACCTACCAACCTACCTTACAACCAATTGCATTAAATCCTTCGTTGTCATTCTCGTTTAACCCAGCTGCGAATTCTCGTTCTTCTTGTTTCCTTCTTCCTGTTTTTTTTCAAGAGTCAAGAACTCGAAGACGTTTTTTATAGATAACCCTTCAAAGGATAAGCCGCCATGTAGAAAAGGCTCCAATTCCCTCCCAAGGGTGAGCTTTACTCGGCGGTCAAATTTCCCTACATGATGAATCTGCAACAAACGTTGCAGCCTCTCTGACTTCTAACAAATATGGTCATTGTAAACTGGACACCTGGTCATTTCAGAAATGGTGACTCTAGTAAAAGAACTGATGGACTGATTTGACCAGCCTTTAGGCAACCGTTCTTTTGACTTGATGGGTAGCACAAGTAGTGTAAACAGCAGTAAAATTTAAAATGTATGTTAGTAGTTGATCAGGTGGCCGTTGATCTGTTCACCCAGTTTGACAATCAGCTTGCGTAATCAGCCGAGGTAACATCACCGAGCACTGAAGATGTCAATTCGATTGCTGATGAAACCTTAGCAAGCCAATGACCAAGCTCGGTTACCTGAGCAACAACAACAATAGATGCACCCGAATTACAACTATTCCGGCACACTTCCAATACGTTAAAGTGAACCGGTTGTTGGCCAAGACAGCTCCTAAATCATAATCCTGTAAATACCCTATATGTGTAGCTGTTTGTTTTTTAATCATCACCAGCACCATCGCTTGTGAGACTGTTCCTGTCCAGGCAGCTTTAACCTTACCTCATTTTGAATCAGTGACCGCGGAGCTAACCAATTTAAAGTCATTCTGAAGCACTGTAGTGATTCCTCTGTTACATACTGCTTTTGTACGATCCGGTTGGGGTCACTTCCGTCCACCAGCAGGATTAAACCACTCTCGATAAGCCTTCACTTGTCTCACGAATCACATTTAACATTAAGGATACCATTGTCACCTTAGGCTCAGTCTGTCCATTTTAAGCCGTTGTGAATCTGTTGAGAATAAATACCTAGATTAGATGGGTTTGTCTCAAAAAATTCACCGCATAATACATAGAAGTCCACGTGATAACATCCCCGGTAAACATTACCCTACAGGTATGATATGCCGAGATCATCTTAGATCTTTCTGGCTTGTTCTTTCAACGGCCTTCTCGAAATATAAAACCTATGGAAAGCCGACCCTCTAAGGGGACAGAAATGTCCTCTCGGGTGACGTTTCGGCTTCTGGAAGGTGAAGCTGCCTGAAGCTTCATCACAGCTGTCCTGTAAGGGTTGGCAGAACTAGACCCCTACATTGAAGCAGCGCATACTTTCTGATAAGTTGACATTAGAGTGAAAGGCTGGTTCAGTTGTCATTCTATTTAACCGAATACGAATGTGGTGTACTCTTCTTATGGATCAACTAGTTTTATACTGAAGTAAATATGTCTTCAGTGGGATGACATTAAAAGTTGAATGAGATGTGCAGACAAGAACTGTACATTACTGTTCCACACAGTTCCGTATTCATTTCCTTCTACAGTGAGGGACTCCCGTACATAACTTTCTGTTTGATTTCCAACGGTTTTGCTCCAAGTGCATGGCAATGAGCCGTCAGAAGACTTTCTTATGCACAGCCTTTCTGTCTAACGAAAACAAGCTTACTTGAGTACATCTGACTATGCTGGCACATTATTCAAGTAGTTTCAATTGATGGATGACGCAATGAGAACGCAGCAGTACAGGCGTACCTACGGTAGTAATAGTAGTGAAGATCCAAAGGTAGCAACAGCTTATTTTTGCATTAAACATACATAGTTTGACATGCCTGTGGTATTTCGCATGCCGAGTAGGTTGGTTACAGCGGTAAAGTATATTTCGCATGTAGAAACTTTGTATACTGTTAAAACCGCGAGTGTCAGTTTTTGGGTTGATCCGGTTGCTTTACTGCGACCGAGTATTGAACTGATTTAAGTCTTCATAGCAAGCGGCATGCATATCCTCCACGGAGATGGAGATTCGATAAATGACCCTAGTTTGCCCAGCTTTACCTTGTTGGTGAGTAGAATGACTTGTATTCGAATCATACACTCATCTGGATCCCACTTTGTTTTTGACGGGAGACTCGTCTAGAATCTAGCTGAACTTATCATTTGTGACATGCTTCTTCAAATCAATGTGCTGTACCAGATTGCCTTATGTTTCAGTGGGTACGATATTCAAGATAACGCAATACATTGTATAGACATAATACATTACTCATAAGGTTACTGAGGTTACAGGTGTATGCAACTTAGTGTACCTCGCTAATCTCGTGTAACTTGGGTTCGATTAGAACATCAGGTTGATGGAAACCCGGAGAGTGCGCCTACCTGACGAGTCCAAAGAAGGGTGAAACCTGTCAGAGAAACCTTATGAGTAGTGTCTTACGTCTATAGAATGACCTATACCTTACTCGAAATTAGCATAACGCGAACTATGGCTTGACTTCTTTCTCGGTACGTTTCCTCAGAAGCACTGTTATTGTCTCATTCTGCTAGACATGGCTTCAAGATTGGTAAAATTCCAGGAAATGAAGGCAACACTTAATTTTGTTGGCGCTTGAGTATGGAAGGAGCAGACTGGATGACCGACAATTAGGCCGTATTCCGGTACTGCGGTTCGGTTCACATGTTGCTGGTTGAAATCTCCCAACCGCTCCCCACCAAGATTAGATTTGGGAGTTGTTGTTCCCCCCCCCCCCTTTCGCCGTACCGATTTGGAGTTGCCCCCCCCCCCTTTATCGCTTAACTACACCCGTCTGTCAAGCAAGAAGTGCCCAGGTACCACAAACCAACAGGACGACACAAATACTCACAAATGCAGCACACGTATTCCCACAAATAAACGCGTAAGCGGACTGGTAGCCACCGGAAGCCAAAAACTAATGTGTGTATAGCTGTAGCATGTTCAACAAGGTCGCGTACGCACACCCCCTTTGTCAGTAGACAAACTGCTAAGTATGAACTTACATGGCGCAGCTAATGTGTACGAACCAAGTGAAAACACCTCCTTGCAAATGTTAGATGAAACGCTTGGTATATATCAGATGAGTTTCACTTTCTATCACTACTTCAACTAAGGCGTGTTACAGATTGATTATCTCCAACAAAACAACTAATATGTTATTCGAGCAGGCTGGCTAGATCACATTTCACTGAAATGAAATAAAAGTGCGTGCGTAGCGACAGCGGTGAGCCACTAGATACGGTCTTGTAGAGTGGTCCTACAAAAAGTTAATTGTTATAAGTTTATTAGGGGCTTTACCTTACCCCTCCTTCATTAACACACAATGACATCCATGACAAATAGTTTCGTTACCTTTCGTAGTTCAGGGTCAAATACGGCAATCCGCGTGGAACGTTTGCGAAGCACAAGGATGTCGACTGATCAGAGAATTCTCCAAAGGAGTGAGATGTGAAAACTACCTACCAAACCCTAGGCACCTGAGAACCGACATCACTCCAAATGGGGTGAAACATTGCATGTGCAGAAAATTCAAGAGGGTTTAGTGTGTATGATCATCAGTGTCTCTAAAGCACCAACGAAGTTTGATAGAAACACAGGATGAACAGTAATGAGGTGCGTAGGGTGGTCTCAGAAGCGGCTCATACACAAGAGACTGGTGTCACACAGGATACGCATGCCAGACAACTGCTTGTTTCACATAGCCATCCACAAGCTGAAAGAACCCAAGTCCTCACGCAATGATTGGCAAAAAAGCATGCGAGCCCTGAACAGTAAGCCCACTTATGTCAACAACCATCGCCTTCCTGGATGGAAATCAGGGAACGGTACAGACCAGTTGTTGGTGTCACTTGCAAACGCGGCTCGAGCACGCAGCTAGTGATATATGTATAGTTAAGAAACCATCTCCATTGCGTAGGTGCCCAGGTTCGATCACCGTAGAGTTAAACGATTCGATGCCAATGAACTCGCTATTCAATCGCTCCTATTGAACACTTGTCCTCTCGTCATTCGACTTTAATTCTCAGTGAGTCCAACTGTTTCAGGTTGTTCCAGCGTACCATGTGGTATATCACATACTGCTGGGAGTCATTCAATAAGTTTGCAACTAACGCACGTATGCGTGTATCATTGCGTCGGGCCTAAAAAGGTTCTTTACTCTTGTCATTTAGGCCACTGCAAGAGTAACCCTGGAACTGGCCAGCCAAGAAATCTTCGTGGGAGTGCCCAAAAGACAGATTGCCGCTAGCGATCCCGCGCCGTAGCTTTGATTCAGCTATCATCCAAAGAGAAACGATTGGTCATGCGTAGTAGCTTATAATATCGTTTCATGCTCTTAGGAACCAAATCGTGTAGAATAAATCAGGTTCGCTCACTGTATGCCCTCTGGTTGTATTATGCATCATCCAACTTCAGGTTAATTCACGCCATGTTTTACGCGGGTTTCGAAGATTGAGTCTGTCGTTGAAAGGAACTGGAGCACGGCACCCGCGCTCCAGGAACTCAGTTTGGGATCTTTAGGGTAACCTAATGGTACTTGTCATCTGAGCAATTTGTTCCGGACTACATACTCGTGCCATTCGGTCGTGCAAGTGTGCGCTGGCACCGGGAATAGTCTAGGAAGCCGCCAAAATGAGCTACTATAACGGTTATCAGTAGTGCAAAAAACAACGGAAGACAGGTTCCAACAGACATAGGGCCAACAGTTTCCCGTTTGAGTGAGCAGTACACTCAGAAAATGTAATGCCAATCGGTAGCAACCTTACGGAAATACGAAGCATTTTTCCACTACACACAAAGTAATTATAAACACAATATCTGAGCTTGGCAATATCGTGGAATACCGGCAGCTCGGGCGCGCTATTTGGTCGCTAGTCCGTTCGTCGAACATAGCGAACCAGATTGCCTTACCAGTCAACTGACTGTCGTCTCCCTGGATATGGAGAAGCCAAATGTTATTGAAAGTCCCTGTCAACAAGCATCTAAACTTCTCCTGTCTAGGCTTGGGTAACCTGGCAGTATCCAAACTCCCGTGCTCCCTTCGGGTGGTAAAGCAGCTGGGCAAAGAAGGGGTTGCAGCCGAACGACTTATTAGTATTCAAAAAAAACCAAAGGTGACTCCGCACCAAAGCTATTGCATTCTACGTATAGTTCTCCAACACCCTGGTTCTTAAGAAACTGATTAAGAAATGGCCTCCAACGAGTAGCTGTCATCCCTTGGTTCTCGGTGAGCAACTGGAATCACTATACCTTGCCATAGGGTACGGCTGACTGAATCATACTTGGCGTGTGTTTAGTTTTATGCCTTCAGGAAGCAAGCAGCCGAATGCAGCATTAGATTCAAATGTTAAAATTAAGGAAAGTGATGTAAACACCAGAAACAAAACCTAGATGTAGCTTCGAAAGAAAACGAGATAGAAATCAACTTGGCTTAAAATCTATCATTCTTGAACAATTGTCATACCACTGCAAAAATTTGGCTTAACGTTTCAAAAAGCCCTCGTACTTCGAAATACTGTTTTGTACACATTTCGCAGTCACTACATAAATGATTATCGCTGATGGTACAGTTCTTGAACAATAAGGCAGCAACTCGCTCGCAATTACATTCTTTATGAAGTTTTCTGTCTGTGTATGAGCCTGAAGAAAGGATTACTGACTACGATTCACCACCTCAAAGTTTTTGCACCGATAACAGTTGACTGGATACTCCAGCTTGGCAAACAAGACAACGGGTTCATTCGAACGCACTTCTTGGAGGGCGAATCACCATGAGTGAGTGAATCACAGAATGCCCCTTTCCTCGACTGGATGACCAACATCCAGCACTGGCAACAGAAAAACCACTTATGGACACGCAGAACATCAAACACGCTCAAGAAAAGTTGCAGGAAGACGTACAGGAACCTCACCATCCCAACCCATTGTAACGCAAAAGCATTTGTTTACTCCAGCTCTGATATAATTCACAATAGACATGTTCCCCACATTACCGACCTCATCACATCTGATGCAACTGAAGACGCATGTACAGAAGGCACCAAATAGATTGAGGACTAATTCAACCAGGGATTCAAATGTACATAGAGAAGGAACCGACCGCAATTGGAAAGGAAAATCAAGGAGAGGAGTAGAACAAAAAATAGACAACTGGGAAAGAAGTGGTCGTCAACGTATAAATTGTCAAATAGAAGGACCATGATGTAGATATGCTAGTTTGAACCAGATTGAGTCATTATTCCTCACACTGTATTGGTTGAATCGTGACACCACGGAGTATTTTTCCCCAACCGATAAGTCTGTGGGAACAAAAGATGCAAAATAAACGTTCAGACAAGCCACAAAACCAGGACATTAAAACAAGATAGACTAGCCTGATTCAAATTAAACAATGAACTGCAGCAACATAAAGTAAAAGTTCCTAGAACGGAAGGTGTATCCTACATTTAGAAGATAGTAAAAAAACAATGGTGCCAAAGTACATCATTGGTTTTCTTACCGCCAATGCCGCTCAACTCGGCGACTGAGAGCGATTTTTTCACCTATTTCTGTACACACGGGACTGTTGAGAGCGATCTTGGTGAGATCACCCTTGACTGCAATCACATGTCCACCACTAGACAGCGATCCTATGTTGACCATCAGTACTTCACCTTTGGATAGCTTTTGAACCTAAAAGGATGCCAACAAGGAATAATGAGCAACACTCCTGAACAAACTGACGGAGAAAAATAGCCATAGCTGGGTACATTTCTTCGGAAATAATAAAAGTAACGGCAGTTTAATAGACGAGAATGGCGAAGACTGGACGCATACAGGTGTCGCTGACATGGCAATCTAAAGTGCACGAGGGGACGGCACTCAGCTTGCAAATGTTGAAAGTTCAAGGATAAATAGATGGATTCAGAATAGGTCAACAATGATACGAAAGCGATAAAAACCATCACCCATCAAACCCATTCCAATTCACTGATTGTTAGTGAACAAAGGATAAGTGGCGAGTGGAGATATTGTCTCAATTAGATTAGACAGCAACCCGTAAAGCAAAAAACGAAACACTGTTGATCATTTCTAACTAAACATAGACTGGAGGCGACGTAATAGCCAACATAATCAAATAAACAGTCATAATATTACTCTTCCGCTGCTCCGAAGTAAAAAACGGACAGTCAGGAAGTGAAAGCTTGAGCATATACAGAACTGGGGCAAGAACATCTAGGAATCGTAGGGTCAAGCTAAGGGTCATAAACCGTCGATAACTAAATTAAATCCAGTCGTAAGAAAAAAAGGTCTAAGTCACTGTTAAATACCTCTGGGGCTGGTCAACGACCAGAATGGTGGGTATCCAGCCCACTGTGCGCCAAAAACTAGTGATGACTTCAGAGATTTGTATTCACATCAGTCGGGTAGCACAGAATACATGCGGTTATTAAATGACGAGAAAAAATCGCATCAACTGCTAAGCCGCGTGTTTCAGCGTATCCTACCATTTGGAAGCCCTGTACTGGAATCTTATCTTGTCAAAATGGCTATGTTTGCCTGTTTCAGCTCATCAGAGGCCAAGCCAAAAACTGGATTCTACTTTGTATAAACGGACAAATACGCCTGCCAAGAACATATGGCTGGTCGGTAAGCGAACTGCTTCATATAGAACCAGATCCCATAAAAAAATAAAATACACATGGTAAATTTAGCAAGGAAGATGGCATAACTAACCTTTGCTCCCTTCCGGTCCCCCTCGGTGCGTACACCCAGTAGTCGACGCAGAAGAAAGAACGATATTTCGAGTTCAACATAAATGTTTGGCAGCGTACCAACTTCACCCAAGACATGTCCTACCAGACGATCGGCTCGGCAGAGTTGAGGATCAATTTTGGTCCCCACACCGATTAGACCTCCAGGAACGGCATAAGCAAGGTCATTTTGCTCAGCAAATAAGGAGACAATACAAGAAATGATGGGGCGGCAAGTAAGTCGTCCGGTGTCTGCACTTTTCGAAACAAGTCCTGGTCGGATCTCGATTTTCTGTCCAACCTGAAGGTTCATTCAATAAACAGAATACAACATATCGTAGTCAGAGAGACCAAAAATACTGAAAATTCTAAAGGAATGGACATGTGAATTACATTATCTGTAAAAACCGCGTAATTGTCGTACTACGGTAATAATCTGGCAGTTTCCTTTACCAATGATTTGGGGAGGTGGAGTACACAAGTACGTACTGGAGGCTGTAACTGCTATAATTAATGCCTAAATAGGGGGTGTTAGTGAACTTTTCATTGGCGACATCCGAAGAGGAGCTATGTATTGAAGGTAACAACGTGGATGCATAAGCGCCATTTAGGGCGCGATTGGGCCATGTCTCTAACCATTGATATATCATCTCGAGATCCCCATTCACGAAGACCGCAACGACCAAAGCAGTTCAGTTCATCGGTATTTGCTTTCACACTTCACTGCCAAAACATTGTTTGACCTCCCGTGGCTCGTTTCCACACTTCAAGTGGTTGTGCAAGAAGGAACCTTTGAGGGATTCAGTCAGCTGGCATTGGGAGCAGGTGACCAAGATGGTGCAACGTATGGAGTGTGACCAGTTCATCTATCGTGGGCGAATTCCCTTCCAAAAACCATTCAGCGTACCTAAGCATTACTAATCCAGTGTTTGCACCAGACCCAGAGAGTGCTCTGAAAACATCGATGATCAAGAACTGAAGGTTCTTCAACGCTGTCAGCTCACTGTAGCCTGATTTCTGACTCATATAAATGTGGCACACCGGAGCATTGTAAGCTCAAACTTGATAGACAAGCTGACGTCATGCCTGCGCCACAGGCGATGCAGGTTAAAAAAAACCCGCTCTGGACTTTTCAAACTGAATGGAAACACGATCTTTGAGTAGACCATCGGGACCGATACAGATCTCATGTTGGTCAATCGGCTCATCGGCAAGCATGAGGTTAGGGTTCCAGCTCACCCCGTTGTGCAGCAGAACTTTACACTTTGCAGATCTGAAGTGCATGCCAAACCATGAAGAATTGTTTGGATTTAGTGTGTAAAGTACAGTGGTGTCAGATCAAAGAAAAGCTGTCTTCTGCGTACCCGATATCTGCAAAATACTGTTGACCCCAGGCTCATTACAGACTGGGAGTTAGTGTGAATCATAGATGAAGTGAACAGAAGAATTGGAAGAGCTCCGAAACTAAGCAAACAAACAAAAAAGTTTTTAAATGGCATACGAGTTGGAAACAGAAACGAAAACTAGCTGCCGCACAAGCAGAAGAAACTAAATCATTAGGCTATGGAAAACTTTCGGTGCATGGCCGTCATTCAGCCCAAGGAAAACACAAGGAATAACATAACTATTGCTGTAGCGCACACGGCCTAGAATTCTCGGGCATCCCGGATCTACTTCGATCCTCTAGGTAGAGTGGTTTGCTGGTCACATCGGAGCTAACAGTAAGTGGTTTGGTGTTATTTCCCGAGGCTCTACTTATGGAATCATAGCAAGTCAGTCATACCGGTGCAACGGATTTTGCTGACGAATGACATGAGGAGATCACGTCTAAGTTACGTTAAGGCTGCGATCGGACAATCCTGTCAGAATGGTAGAAGTTAATAAACAAGAGGTGGTTATGTAATCAATCAACCGGAAGATGTTTGAGAACGGTTGAGTAGCCATCGTTTCAGAGAGATTTGCTAGACCATCGATGGACTTATTGCTAGGTAACTCTTCGCTTTTGATACAAAAGGTTTGTCAGGTCAACTGGATAAGCTACCAGGTTAGCCGAGTTATAGAGTAGTCAAAGAGCCAATCGGTGAGATTTCCTACGACCAGCCAAATTAATCAATGCTGGATGCCAATCAGACGTTCTCGTGTGTTGGTTAGCGTGGACGACTAACATGCACGAAACCGGTTAGGGAGGATTATTCTTAATGTGAAGTAGGACTATGGGGTCGCGCTTCTCCAATCTAGAACACCTTTGTGGTATATTCCTTTTAAGTGGAATTCACGTACATTGTTGGTCTGTATCAGGAGATGTTAGCACAATGGGACTGGGATTGGGGGGCTTCTGGGCTTTCGACCCAGAACGTTTCGTTGATAACTGCACACCACCTCATACTATCTCGTCTGGTCTCAAACCGATTGCCATTTTTACGCCTTCTAATCTAATAAGAATAATTATCCTCCAGTTGTAACATCCTTTCAGTGCCTAGCTGCCACGCCACCTGGAAGATGCATGAGAGTTGATATACTACCAGGTGGGCCAAGCCTATACAGGAGCAGTAGAGGTGCCAGCATTGGGCTTGAACTACGGACCTTCCGGTCAGTAAGTTCGCGCCTTAAGCATTGAGCTATCTCGAACCCTCTAATCTATTCACACTGGGATGCTTGGCGATTGCCACTATCTCGGCCACAAGCCATGAATCTCAGTCCTCGTCTCAAAATTTCCATCTTTCCCAAATTTATCCTGTGCCTAACGAACGCCTTGTCATCGCCTAGTTCTTGACTATTGTCTGATATCCATCTACGTATCTGAGTGGTTCATTTATGCACTGCTTATGCTCACCGACTGTGGGCGGTACTTAAAGCGTACTTTTGACTTTGGTCCAGGCTGTCCGATCGACGCTGGGTGACAACTCCCCATTTGGCCGTTTAACGTAAGATTATCGGCTTGAGTGAAGTTGTGAGGGTTCACCGGTTTTCTGACGCGATCCATCCAGCGTCTCCGTTGGTTGTACTTGAACGACATGCAGTTTCTACATCGACGATCTTACGGATTATTTTGGGAGAGACTACAACAATCCAGTTTCGGTGTCCAGGGCAATCATTTATCACAAGCACACGGTTTCCGGCCCAGAAAGCTGGTTTCCCTCCTGCTGGTGTTGACGTGCATATGGTGTCGAATTTGTGATGCTGAAGGACGCAAACGACCGATTCTGCCTATACCCAAGAGGCTAAGCTGACAAACGGTAAGGTAAATAATGGCCTGATACCTTCATCTTACAGTCGAATTCACCAATCAAATGAAGCTCACGCTCTGATGCATTTCTGAGTGCTCATTGTCGGTCTGTATTTTGGTGATCCAATGTATTTCCAGGTGCGACGGGAAGTAATCGTGATATCGGAAGCAGTATCGAGCTGCAATCAAGTAGTGTTTCCGTCTGCTTTCATCCTAACAATTCCGGCGAGTCTTGACAAGGTTATCATAGGCAGCAGGTAATGCGTTCAACCGTGTTCTACCTTGATCTGAGGGTTTGACTGACAGCTCAACTAGGTTTCCACGTTCGGTACCGCCTTCCCCTGCACACTGAACACAATCGCACGAAATGCCGTAAGCCGCATTGTCGGTATACCGACAGAGGCTTTGCTGCGTTCAAACATGCAGCCGCGGGGATTGGTCTCGAAATTGTCTTGGAAATACTGAAAGCAGAGTCGGATAATGGTCGCTCCAACATGACCGTGTCATGTTTGAGATCCAAGAGTTGCTAGCACTCGCGAGTAATGTCTGCAGCGTTATTTCGGCAAACTGTTCAAAACTTCCGTTCTGACAGCACTTTCTGAACGTGATTGGAGACCGCATATGAAAATTGGACACGTGGACTGGTCTTCCGTCATGGTGGTTAGTCGTTCAACTGTAGAACCCTTTGGGTGCCTAACTACCATGCCACCCGAAGGGTGCACGAGGGCTGGGATACTGCCAGGTCGCCCAAGCCTAGGAAGGGGAAGTCAAGAGGCAGAGGTCAGGTTCGAACCACGGACCTTCCGGTCAGTGAATTCGCGCTCTAACCACTGGGCTACCTCGCCCCACGGTAGGTACTTTGAATCGTTCACATTCAACATTTACTCTAACAACACAAGTGGTGCAGCCATCAAACTGCCCTTTTACTGGTTTCATACATCGATAGCGAATATTAAACAAGGATATACGCTCGCCGAAAATAGCTGATAGTTGCTGCACGGTTACGTCAAAGCTGATATCTCGTACGTTTCTTGGCAAGGTGAAGTTGGAATAACTTGTCCCGCTGTGCCAAGTTTCCTGAGCAATGAAAGCACTGACCAGACATCATTCTTGTGCTTCAGGCCGACTTTTAAAAATATATTGGTAACATTTGAACCACGAATAGATTAGACCAACAGCATGCTCATAATGGAACTCCGTGATGTCGGCGATTGAGTGGACGGAAGTTGCACCTGGAGCGGAATTTGGTGGCTGCACTGTGAGTTGCCGCGTCAAAGTTACTGTCATATTTGCATAGGTTTGAGATCTGTCAATCTGTTGTAACTAACTTCTGTTCTAGCTCCAGTGCCCTAGTGTCGTAAAAGACTCGCCAAGAATAACTTGTCCCGCTGTGCCAAGTTTCCTGAGCAATGAAAGCACTGACCAGACATCATTCTTGTGCTTCAGGCCGACTTTTAAAAATATATTGGTAACATTTGAACCACGAATAGATTAGACCAACAGCATGCTCATAATGGAACTCCGTGATGTCGGCGATTGAGTGGACGGAAGTTGCACCTGGAGCGGAATTTGGTGGCTGCACTGTGAGTTGCCGCGTCAAAGTTACTGTCATATTTGCATAGGTTTGAGATCTGTCAATCTGTTGTAACTAACTTCTGTTCTAGCTCCAGTGCCCTAGTGTCGTAAAAAGACTCGCCAACAAGGAACACGGCTTTATTGTTAACAAGCGAGTGTAAAATTACACGGGGCATCGCGGTATTTAAAGCGAAATTTTGATCTTGATCCAGGCTGTCTGATTGGCGTTGGGCGAACGCTCATCATCATCGGCCATGCTCATATGACAAGCCTGAACACTCATCATCGCCGTCCGTAACCGAACTGATAGGCTGTTTGAGCGTCCAATCGGTAGTTTGTTTTCCTGGTCGGGGTACTTGACGAGTTTCTTACTGAAATTTTGGTGGGGTTTGATGGCCGCAGTAAGTTTCGGGCATTCTGAGATTCTTTTTGGGTATCTGACCTCCCTGACAAAAACCCTCCACTAATTTTACACTGCGTGTGCACCCTAGTCAATTAACTGTAATGGTGGATTTCGGAAAGCCTGTAAGACATAATTAACATAAATAACACTGTTACATTGAGTTGCTGTGTGTAGTGCTCAGTATATTCCGACATATTTCTGATCAACACCCCGAGTTTATTGGACAGGTAGGGATTACCCGGTATTCTCAACTAAGAGAATTTCGTAGCCATACATCTCTTAAGCATTCCAGAGATCTTGGAAACAAAAGGTCTTCTAACGACCAAAAAGAAACAAAACTGACACGCTAAGCTTAAGCTGACTCAAACCCATTGTGTGTATTACTCATTGGTGAGTGTCAGTCAGGATCCAGCTTGACGGAATCTTACTGGTGCATCATCAATGGGTGGATCAGCGAGCACTACGAACGACGAGTGAAACACAGATTCAACTGAAGTATAGACCGGGTAGACCTCATAAAGATTCCCATACACAACGACGCAACGGTAGGTTATGGGATTTCTGGATACAAAACTGCAACCAGTTGTGTGCAGGTAGGGATATCGTAAACTGAGCAGGAACGGGTAGAAGAAAGAAGTACAGCGACCATAATAACATTTGACACATTTTAATGTCGCAGTACAACTTGCTCTCGCGCACCATAAGCAGCCAGAGTCAGAGTGTATGCTATCTGTGTTCGGAAGACTCAAAGTGTACCATAGTCTGGAACACATGTTTTCTTCCGATCGACATACTATCCACAAAATCCGACTGAGGCAGCCGAACGCCGTACGAGGATCACACAATCTACGCAAACAAGTCAGGCTAGAGTAACTAGGAAAATACATGCAAGCAAATTGCAAAGCTTAGGAAACAGATCAACAGCCACCGGATCCATAACCAGACATGTTAGTCAGCCCAGTTGGGCGCTGCCACGAGAATGTGATAGCTTTAGCACCTACTTTCAAAACTCCGCGAAGTATGCTCCCACCAGCAACGCCACCCCGCAGATCGTCCACCTCACACCCTGGCTTGTTGACATCAAACGAACGGATGACTGAAACAAAATCCAAGAACGGAGAACCAAGCAATAGCATTGAACTACGTCTGTTGACTGGTCAGGCCAAAAAATAGGAAAATGACTTCGTCAACCGAGTGTGCCAACAAACATGGACAGTGGGATAAGGTTGGGAAATCGATGAGTGAGAACACTCAGGGCACAGATACGCGTCAATTGGGGGATCTACATGTTTTGGCAGATAAACATTTCCCTAGAATAAATGGCTTGTGATAATCCATCGTCTACAGGTTGCGACAAGTTGATCAGCTGGTCGCTCACAGTAGTCACATGGGGACAACATCACAATGGACGAAAAAGGGTAAGAAGCGCATACAATCTACTATTATGTAGTCCGGCGAAGCTCTGCGTGTTGGTTCGTCGCAGGGTCGATCGTCGTCGTATCTTCGATAAATATTTTCAGAGGTTTGTCACAGGTACCGTCGCAAAAGACGGCCCGAACGACTCATGACGGTTTAGATTGGTTCACCCACTCCCAAAAGAAAATATCTATACACGCTCCACCAGACCTTCAAATGGATAGTATACCCAAAGTTGATTAGAGCATCAGCTGGTTCACTTTTCACAGACGTATGTGGGAACATGGGAGGACGTGGGGACAGAGCACACTACTCATATGGATGGGGTAAATTCTTCGTCAGCACAGCCGATTTCGCTCTTCTTAGGCTCCGTTCCTGAATTTCCTTGTCTGTCCCTCTTGAACACTAACGCGATCCACGAAATATCCTCCATTGGAATTTTAAACGGGAAGCTCAAGTGAATCTCGTGGACGAGAGATTCAATAGGGATTAGGCTAAGGGTCCCGTTAAAACCTAAAATTAGGTTGTAAATGAATGTATTACGCAGATACTATGTTGTTTGGTCTCAAGAAACTAGTAGCGTGTATATGGGAGGCACAATAACTGTTTGGACAAACATCATCAAGCAAATACAACCCAAGAGGGGCGAAAAATTCGTCATCAGAATAGAACCTAAGAAACGGCATTCATCGACACAAACAGCACAGAACACCTAAGGGGTCAACCCATCCAAGTTCAAAAGCCAGTGGCTAAGACACGAGCTTACGGCGCGAGTCTTGTAGTCCCAACCCACCGCAGCAATTCGATGGATTCCCTCCAGCTAGGTTGGGCAACCTGGAACTATTTCAAACAATCTGTTTCATTCAGGTCGCGCGGTAATTATGCAATTTCAAATGTTTTCAATCAAAATAGAGCAAAATGATGGGTGTCCCACCGAAAGACCCTAAATAAATGGCCCAAGGAAGCGCCATCGGGAAAGCTTATTCTTTCTATCAAGCCAGCCAAAAATAAAATACATATCAAACCCAAACCGCAAACAACGCACCAAGTTAACATAATTTTTTGTGCCTTTATAGTTTGGAGGAACCACTGTGTAGAACCAGGAACCTAACAACCCCATTAAGAGAGAAATACCGGCCTGGTAAAGTAGCACAGGGGAACAGCATGACTAGTGTATCGACCTAACCTCGCTTGGACATAGAAAAGGGTCCGCTGAAGTGTCGAGAGATTCATTACCTATTAGCCTTGGGGCAGAAGTGAAATCCCGAATTGGCACAGGAATATGGTTCACAATGTAGTCGCAGACCACGTCGATATTGTACTTCAGTTGGGCTGAAATTGGTACGACAGGTGCACCTTCAGCAACTGTGCCCTTAATGAACTGCAGAATCTGAAACCAAGAATACCACATCGCAATTACCGCTTGTAGGAATGAAATAAAATCTGAATATCGGAGGAATTCGGAGTGACGTCAACTATTATTATGTGGAACAAGCATACATCTGGATAAAACACATTGATATTGTTAATCCGCGTGGAAAATGGAACCCACATCAGTCAGAAACCCGATCGTGGTTCGATGCCGCCATTTCGACTGCCCCTGTTTGCACAACCTGGCAGTATATTGGCCCTCCTGTTGTAGGGTAGCGACTAGACACGCGTGCTACAGCTGGACGATTATTGCTAACGTTAGTACTATTATTACTCATCTGCAATTTGCAGAGTTCCAAGCACCCCAAGCCGAAAGCCGAATCAAAGCGATGCCAAGACACTCAAATTTCAGCCACACCAAATAAAAATGTCAAAACTCCAAGGATAAAAGACCGTATTGCGATATCAACTAAACAAAAATCGCTGGTCGACGCATCTAGTACATGCAACGGCATCGAACAGTAGCTCGATCGTTATTTTAATCAACAAAGCAGACAATTGTGTGGCAACACATCGCGCAGGTGCTCATCATTCACAGCATCAAGGTGTGGTAAATAAAATGGAGTGAACAATCCGCTCCAATAAATGCATGGTTCACTACAATCCACAAAGGTGGTTTTCGCACTACCACACAGGCATCATTCGGTGTATTGGAAGACTTAAGTCGCGCCTAAACAATGACAGTGATAATCGTTCAGGTGTAACACCCCCTCGGTGTCTCGCTACCATACTGCCCGAAGAAAGCACGAGGGTTGAGATACTACCGGGTTGTCCAAGCCCAGATAGGAGCAGTTGAGATGCCGAGGTTGGGTTGGAACCACGAAATTCCCAGTCAGAAAGTTCGCGCCTTAATCACTGAGCCATCACGAGCCCACCTCAAGTGTTGCCGTGTTGAATATCAACAGCTCACTAAAGATGTGTATCAAGGAGCTGTGTCCACAAGTCATCCTTTAAACCATTCTCCCCTGGGCATAAAAAATCATCGTTTCCTACATAAAACAAGAGGCACAAAACTCGGGACTATCAACTGATATATCGTTTGTCGCGAAGTAGTCTGAGGTTGGGTTATAAAACCCAGTAAACGGGTAGATTAACTACTACTGCACCAGTCACACTAAATACATTTTCATCGGCAACCGAAACCAATCACAAGCACTCAACAGGTTCGAAAGGTTCAAAGCACCTTGGGCACTACCTGGATAGGAAGCCCTAACAGGTGGGTCACAAATCGGATCAACCAGAATGGTTACTGAGCAATCAGACGAAAAATACAATACAAACATCCACATTCACTGTGCCCTGACAGAATGAAGGTGACCACGGCTGCCAAGCGCGACAGGTCGAACTCTGGGTTATAAGAGAAGAGAATTATGATGAGCGTGCCATGTCATGACTACATAAACCATACCTTTGCACACACCATTAACTCGTAATTCTCACTCGATATTTTCAGCTCATGTACTACCGTTGTAAGACGATTAAAGCATACATTGCGCCCTTCTACTCTGTCTTTCTTCCAATCTCGTCCTGGAACTACTCGACTCTCGTAAAACTGTGAAATGTACAAAATAATGGCAAAAGTGACAATACGGGGGAAGGCTTTTTGGACCTTCCTTGAGGTGGCATCTCTTCAGATGGATATCGCGCTGAATCGTAGTTGATGGGGGACGCGAGTGGAAAGTTCTTCGGATGGGGTTACTGTAATCGCGTCGTAACGAGGACTGTCCGAACCAGGGTAAGGACAAAGTAATTCAAACAGCTACAGCAAAAAGACAGGAATGAGCAGCACAAAACTGTCTTAGTATTTAACCTAATTAGGACCATGATTGGGAGCTTCATCTCGCGGTACAGTATGGTAACATACCACTCTATGCTGAATAGCAACCAAAGACAGGAAAACCTTACTTGTTCGTACTGATCACGGGCCTGCGTCTCTTTGATTAGGTCAATTTTATTTTGTAGTATAATGATATACTTCAGACGCATTATCTCAACGGCAGCCAGGTGTTCACTGGTTTGGGGCTGTGGACAAGGTTCGTTGCTGGCAATGAGCAACAGAGCGGCATCCATTACCGCTGCTCCGTTTAGCATGGTGGCCATCAGGATGTCGTGACCGGGGCAGTCGACGAAAGACACGTGTCTGGGTGAAAATAGATGAAGAAATGGTTTTGAAAATAACGCGGCTTCCTCACAAATAGCGGCAGCACAAGGTAGCCTTTGTTGAAGGATCAATCTTGTTAGGAATTCACTACAGTATTACTGTAGTCACCGGAAAAGCTGAATGCTTAGGGCTAGTAATCGCGTTGTAGTTCACGTTTGAACTATAATTCATGAGCTGACGACCAAAACGAAGTTTGTTAGTTATCCCAGGTAAGAGCAAATGATTTAATACAACACAACCTTGCTCCAGATTGGCCGTTTTTAGCTCCTGACAAGTTGAGGATAGCATTCGTGTGGAATGGGAAATTTTTGTGGTAACGGGTAACTTTGCCATGAAATCTTATCCACAGCGATCAACTCGTTGGCTGAAACTGCTTATCAAACACGAATACAGTATCTTTACAATCGTCGGAGCTGAGAAATATAAGTCTAACACAACGCTGCAGCATCATGCTGCAACGTCCACGCAATGTTCTTAGGCCGGATATGCGACTTATGCAGTGAAGTTATTCCGGGAGAATATCGCAATCAAATGAAGTAGTAGGATATGCTGACGTTAGTTCAACCGATTCTCTGTTGAATGTGACATAAAATGAAGCGGGAATGTGGCTACCAGTAGGGATCTTCATTGACGGATGATTATTCGATCCGTCACGAAGACAGTGGACTTTGCTGTGGTGCACCTAGGCGAACCATCGAGCTATAATGGGAGGTGTCCGCGTGACATTCACAGTCTCTCATACCAGGTTGGCCAATGGTTAGAGGTCTGACGAACACAGTCCAGGTTGGAAGTTGAAATATGTGTGGCAACTTGTTCCTTAAAACGTTAATGTGTTTGCATTTCCGGCAAAACCACTGCCTGGCTGTCAGGCTAATGAGCCAAAGGCTTTGGTTGAGGACCCTAATCGTCCTCCTGTCTAGGTGTGGGTTCGCTGGTAGTATCCCAGACCATCAATTGCGCACATACAGATAAACTCATGCCACATCAGCCATCGTGTGGTACCATCAGCCGGGTTGCCTTGCTTCCTGCATACAGCACGGCGGGTAGGCGAAAACAGGCTACCGCTGACGGCTCCCTTCTTTCTCTTCCATATGCCTTTTCTTCCCCCTCTCCCTGCCCCATCAATAACCCTCCTTATAGGCCCAGCAAGTGGGACTGATGGCTCCGTTCGTCTTGCATCGGTTTTGCAGGCAACATCTGCGCGTCATCCTCAGGCATCTCGAAATCAATCTTTTAACACCGACACCCAGTCTATCTATTCGCCTTCAATGTCCGCACTCTGAAGCAAGCAGGACAACAAGCTGCTCTTGCACTCACGCTGGACTCGCTTAGCATTGATGTGTGCTGTCTCAGAAACAAGAATTCAGGATGCAAGCACAGTGATTGAGCTAACCGTCCTATCACTCTTCACTCGCTTCCAGCTACGCACTTTTGGTAATTCAGGGGCTGCTCCGGCAGGAAGTGTACGGGTTGGTATTGTATGGGTGGAAGGATATCTGCATGACTGGATACCCGTTGATAGTCGCCAGTATGCGGTTCGTCAAGCAACATCCGTGAAGCATTTTCACAAGCTGGAAGTTCATCGGTGCCCGTTTGTCGTGCCTCCTTACGCCCCAACTGACTGTAGCTCTGCTCCGAAAGATGCGTATTATGACGCCTTAAATGTCCTGTTGCCGCAAGCTCAAGGCTCGGATGTCGATGTGGTTGTCGGAGATCTGAATGCACAAGCGCACACGCTTAGCGCATCTGAGCTTACTCAGGTGGTCGACATGGAATGGACTCGGTACGTACCAATAATCGTGATCAATTGCTTCAGCTGTGTACTGACCGCAGCATTAACTTCCGAAATAGCCGAAGTCGTCGGGCCACATGGTATCCTCCAATGGCGTACCGGCCATGAACTCAAATCGATCAGATCGCTATGAGTTACCGAGGGCATGAATCGATAACAGACTACTGCTAGTTTTGGAACACATTTGTGGATTCCGACCACGCGCTCATCTGGAGTTGCTTTTCCCTTCGCGGTCCAGGGGCGGGTAAGGTGCGAACAAATCGCTTGGCAACCGAAAGACTGGTAGATTAATAGACGAGTTTACCAGAATTGTGGTCTAGAGTCTCTTCCAACTATTCCACCATTAAATGTGAATTGATACTAGGTCGTGATCGCCACCTTTTTCTACAGTGCTCGGAGTTTTGCGTGTGGCAGGAGCTAACAGGTACACTCAAGCACTGGATAACAGACCGTACAATGACACTACTCAAATCTTGCAGGAATATCCCAGCCGGTCCCGAACATAACCCGACCCGACGAATTATCAGACGTCAAGTGAAAGGATCGTGCGAGCCCTGGAGCCCCAAGCTGAGGTAGAACCCTTGGCGGTAAACGTGGAAACCCTTGCGACGGTAGAACGACACAACGAACGACACAATTTTGGTGTTCCTGGATTTCCAAGGTGCATTTCACTCAGATGAAAAGTCTCTAAACATAGTAAGTTCTTCGTATTCTCGGACATCCGGTCATGTGAGAGTATACGGGGAGCTCCCTAAAAGCGGGGTCCGTCAGGGATGCCCACCCTCTCCATTCCTATTCAATTCCTTGAACAATGAAATCATGGGACGAACGCTGAAAGGTCTTCAAAACCCCGGCGTTCAAATAACCTGTGACGGAATCCTTGCCGATCTGGAATATGCAGCCGACATCGTTTCCGTCTTCGAAGAGAATGTGCAGGTGCTTTTGGATAAGCTAACCAGTGATCGCGTCCCCTGGTATGAACCGTGCACCCACAAGGTGTAAGGTCATGCTCCTGGACGGACGGTCACTGATCAGGCCGCTTACAATCCAGGGGGACACACTAAGTTGTGAGGCGCTTCATGCGTTTTGAAAGTTGCATTAGTTCTCATTGTAGTGCGACAGATGAAGTCAATGCAAGCGTTTGCTAATCTGAGACAATTATGGCGCACCACAATCGTTGTCTCAGAACGATTGCTCGTGTGGATTGGTGTCGGCCAATCCGTAGCGAAACAAGTAGAGAGCAAGTTTTCAACTGTGCATCGGAGACTTCTACTGAAGAATGTGTTCAGAAACAGAAGCTGCGTTGGTAAAGTCATGTACTGTGTATGTCGAACCATCGTTTGCCAAAGAGTGCTGTCTTTCGTGCCCAATTCAGAATGGCGGAAGCAGAGAGTTAGCTGACCCTTAACCTGACGGAGGAGTATGAAAGGCATTACAAAACGTTTGGGTCATCATCATCATCATCGACAGCATGACATCAGTGTTCAACACCGATGCTTCGCTGCCATTAGGGTGGTGTCGGTGCTACTCGACTTTCAGGATGAGGCTGGTTGGAGACGCTGCAAAATACAGCTGTTAATCGAGGTCAGTGGTGCTCTTATCGTCAGTTCCATCCAGATTGCGTGAGTGTCTGCAGGTGTAAGCGCCTCAGAATGATCGTAGTGAGCTACCACTAATTCCTTTCCCCATCGACCTTTATTCTTTTCTTCACCATAAGGCTTACAAAAAAATCATGGTTGTAGGGCAGCGAGGCATCAATTTCGAACATCGATGTCATGCTGGCGGTGGCTATTATTATTATTCGATAAATCATTAATCATCAATCGAGGTTGAACCCGCTTACGACGGTACAAACTGGCCGACGCAAATCTGAATTTTTGGATTTTGTATGGCACAATACGACTTCCCGAATTTTCAAAGAGCTCCAAACTTCCTCCTACCTACATTCCGAAAAGTCTTGATCGTGTCGAGTTTGGACGGACACAAAAAGGTTCCAGTAAAAATGTACCTGTCATACAGACCGAGCAAAGTTCAGTGCATGTGTATCAAACGCCGCTGACGCACTATCATTCCACTAGACCAGGAGGCCCTGGACTGCAGCGACATGATTTTGAGACTCGAAGGATTCCAGTGCCAAGCGACTACGTTTCAGCTGTAGCATCCTTTCGGTACCTAACTGCCATGCCACCCGGAGGATGCACGAGGACTGGAATACTGCTAGGCTGTTAAGCTGAGGAGGGGGAAGTCAAAAGGCAGAGGTCAGGTTTGAACCAGGGACCTTCTGGTCATTAAATTCACGCCCCAACCATTTGAGGGGCGAGACGGAACAAGTGGTTACAGCGCGAATTTACTGACCAGAAGGTCCGTGGTCCGAACCCGACCTCTGCCTCTCGACATCCACTGTCTAGGCTTGGGCAACCTGGCAGTATCTCAGCCCTCGTACAACCTTCGGGTGGCATGGCAGTTAGGCACCGAAAGGGTCCTACAGCTGAACGATTTTTCTTCTAACCATTTGAGCCATCTCGCCCCAAGTACTATTGATGAAAAACCAGCGAATATTGTGCATGGCACCGAGCAGAAGATTGTCCTGTGCAAACCTCTCTCGTAAGCGGCATGATGAATATTTTTTCATCATAGACGATCCGGAGACAGCATATCACAGACCAAGAAAACGCGGAAATCTACCACTTCTTGTCGTGTTCAGCCCAGACATGTCACAGAGCACCATCACGAAGTTACACGAGCACCACTTTCTCTGAAGCAAACCACCAGAAGACCCCAGTGGGAAAACAACTCATAACACTGGATGTCCATTAACCACCAGGAGGGGCAATTTCCAATAGTTTAATGCTGATAGTCGCCACTTTGGTACTGGCCACTGTTAAGCTTCCTGTTCAATGAAAATTTTGCGCCACCAAGGCTTTTCACAAAAAGCGACCATGATAACCTCTATACACTACACCAACTGATGGATTCGACACAGCATGGATACATACATATAACCTTTGACTCAAAATTGGACGGGGAGCCAAAAGGAAGGCGTGCCAGCTGATATTATATCTTCTGGTTTTTTTAAAAGCTAATCGAGTGTGGCTCCAAACGATTCTGAATCATCTAAATGGCTTCAGTATGGACAGCAATCTTCTTGTCCTATGACGCTGAGCCATGAGGGCCTACAATGTCATCTCTAAATGCAGAGTATTCGGCGAAGTGCCAAAATGCATTGTCACAAGTCCCTTCCTCCAGAGCCCGTAGCAGTCAACTCATCGCTTTCTTGGCCTATGACCTCAAGACTCACCAGATCACATTTAGACACGGTAACTTTGCAAAATGACACCGACTGCAAAGCTCTCGCAGCAGAAGAGAATTGTCCATCCCTCAGCCTGAAAAACCCACACCACCACCAGCATCTCACATCGTGAAGTATGCCACCCAAAAAAGTTTCCTAAGGGATCTTGGACACTTGTGTGCTCATATACCAGAGCAAACCTGAAGTCCGGGGTGTATTGTTGGGATTACTGGGGGCCTTTAACCGGAGTTTTAACGGTAGATAGAAACAGCTGGTTAGTATCCCGGTCTGAAAGCAAAGACCTTGCGGAGTACAACTAACCACCAGTAGATCTGAAGGACTTCCATAAATGCCACCCTCCCCGCAGGTGAAATTGCCTTTCAGCAGACCGCTCGGACTTTCAGTCACACTTTGAACATCAACAACACAATCACAACAGTATATTCCGGTGACAAGCTTGTTCTTCAGGTTATCCCTGTGGATGCTAATGCCAGCTGAAATACCGCCGAATCATAGAAGTGCGAATATCCTACGCGGTGCTTCTGCAAAAACTGACAATAAACTCGAATATACACTAAAATCAATGCTACAAAAACCAACAAAAACCTTCTGAAAATATCCAGAAAGGACTGACTCTCACCTCTGAAGCAAAAGAGTCCCACCGCAGCCGGCTCTTGGACAGGGAAGAGTGTCTTCAGTCGCGCTGCCGAAAGATCGGTAGCAGGCGGGTCGAGGGCAAGCATCATTGTCGCATTTGTAGATCTTCGCATTGGCGTACCCCAACTTGATTGTGATGTTCCGAACTAGTTCGGTTTTGTGTCTGATGGTATGTACAGTTGAAATGGCTCGCACGACGGTGGTCTTGCCGTGCGCCACATGACCAATCGTGCCAATGTTGATTGTCGCCTGACGACTTATGACTTCCGGGGTCAGAGCGGTCAGAGAAGAAACATCCTAACCAACGTTGAATGCACAACTTTGTCACTCACCAGAGACTCCGCATCCTGCTTGGCCAGCTTCGAAGAATCATGCATCGTGCTTCGCCGGGCAAACCGCGCGCGGGAATCAAGGTCGCTTGCTGCAGTGAAACAACGAAGTAGTTTCCAAGGCGACTAATGGTAGGATTAATGATAGCGCAAAATGGATAAAGCCGGTGTAGCCCTCAATCGAATGGTTGGAATTATCGTATTATGTATGTATATATTACATTTTTGTTATTAATATATTATCATATATCACAGGTAAGAAGCGGTCACTGATCATCAGAAGGGGGTAGATGACCGCCAAGTCGGAGCAATTGTTATCGCGTTCTCAGAAAATGGTGTCCGGCCAACCTTCTGTTTTCTTGTCCGTCTTGCTTCCCGCCGTTGTTTTCACGCCTTTGTAGCTAAAGTGTGAGGCATACCTTTGCTGTTTCGGAAACCTGGCCCCAAACTTTTCCGGCAGGTTTAGTTTAAGCCGAATTATCCCAAACCAACTGAGATAAATTTACCTAAAACATTTGCATCTAAACCGCCCATCGGTATATAAACGAAGCAGCCAGGAGGGAACCAGCACTCAATAATTGTTTTTTACCTTTTCCCAAGCTTCCGAGAGGAAAGGCCTTTATCCAGGTTTAACGCATGCGATGCATTCCACAACAAACAAGACAGCTATGGAAAAAAATTCAAGCGCACAGTCTTGGGTAGAAAAGACCGGTGCAAATGTTCCGTTTTAATCGGATTGCTCGATAAAAAACTGGCATTTCTCTCCATATCCCTAGAGGATACAAACACATAGGACCAGGAAGTCTGGTGGAAGTAAATAACGAAATTTACTCCATAAACTAGCAGCTGGCGACATCCATTCGTTGTCCATTGGTGGCAAAGAAGGTTATCCGGTTCGCTGATGCGCAAGTGAAGGCCGAAGCGCGGCCTCTAGTGGGCAGGCGTACGAGAGAGAGCATGCTGACCATCTGAGTGTCATTCCCCAGGACAAGTGCGCCAACGAACATGGCACCATCGCTCTTTGATGGGCTTGTCACAATGCCCGAAAATGAATTCCTCCACGAAGAGTAGTTACCGGAATAGAAAGGCAAGCGATAACTTAGGCTACTAGTCGCTATTTCCTTACCAAATGCCAACAGCACTCAAAGTGTTTACAAAAAGATCAGGCGTACACCAATGAACTCCCCCTAAAGGCGCGAAGTTTGGGGTCCCAACAGTCCTAGAGGGGAGGCTAGCAAAAAGCTTCCGCTTGGTCACAGTTCTGCCGGCCCAAAAAGTTACGGCAAATCTGAAGATAGTCGTAGGCCCTTGTACCCTTGAAAGTACGCCCACGAGAATGGCCGCATCTCCAGATTGCAATTTTTACTCAACCGCCGAAAACCCCTCTCCCATAGATGTGGCAACCAGCGCATGTGAACTCACCGCCTGCTTTCTTTCTCGACGACAAAGGCACAGTGGTGAAGTTCACATGCAATTTAAAAATTCTTAGCTGGATTCGGTCAGCTTTGCTGGGACAAGCAATGGATGCTGCTAAGAGGTCAACTACGGCTCCGATATCGGTAACCACTGAGAGAAACCACACAACCATCAAAAATGTGACACTGCCATCCTCCAGCTCCACTCCATGAGGAGCAGCCTCTCCGATCGTTGGCATGGTCGTCGCGCATGACACTGATAACCAAAGCCACAATCCGACAGTCACAAACACCGAGTTGGCCGAGATTATCACGGACGACCCAGGAGTCACCCAAACACCAAAGAAGGAGTGACTGTGGCTGAACAAGCCAATCAAGAACCACTCCACTGAAGAGCCGTTGGCTAGATTCAAGATGCAGTCCTCTGCAGAAACGAGCCTTCTGTGGGTTCCACCGACAGGACCACCCTTTTTCAAAAACAGTCAATCAAGTCCCCAGACGCACACCTGCTCCACAACACGACTCTTGCGACGTCCGACTAAAAATTCCGCGCTAAGGTATTCTTATTAGACAGGATATTCAGCATGAAAGTGGGCTCGTAGTACCCCTCTCCGGCGCCAGTCTACGCAGGAGTGCAGAAAGACTCTGTTTTGAGACCGCTCTGACTCTTGAGCCACGCCACCAATCTTTTAGACATTCTTTGAAGTTCATGCCTACTTTTTGCGGACAACTTGAAATCTGGAGTTTTGCTAAGGTATTCTTATTAGACAGGATATTCAGCATGAAAGTGGGCTCGTAGTACCCCTCTCCGGCGCCAGTCTACGCAGGAGTGCAGAAAGACTCTGTTTTGAGACCGCTCTGACTCTTGAGCCACGCCACCAATCTTTTAGACATTCTTTGAAGTTCATGCCTACTTTTTGCGGACAACTTGAAATCCTGGAGTTTTAAGGGCAGCGCCATCCAAATGAATGTAGACGCTGCAAAGCGGAGGTCTCTGCACTGTAATTTTCCTCGGAATGAGGAAGTCTTTGTCCGTATGTAATTCGGGGGAGACTCAGCGACAGCTTTGGTGAGGACGGTGAGAATGGATCAGAAGAAAGTACACAGCTACAAAACAGGATTTATGTATCTGCCTCTATCCTTCTCACTGCAGTGTAAAAGTCGGCTCAAAACGCAGATGATTAGGCCAATCTTCCACCGAATAATTGCATGGACTCCAGGACACTATGGGACATACGTCAGGCCGCTTCTTGAATAAGCCAACCACATTGTTTAATCGGGATGTGAAAAAGATGTAACCCATTTTGAGCATGTCCATCGAGCTGCAACGGTAATGGTGCCAGCCTTAAATTTGTTTATTTTGTAACGAGCCTGTAAGTGCGTGACCTATTTCAACCGGAGTATCGTCACCTCCGGAGGGACCTAATAATTATCAACGACGCCTGAACTAATTCTGACCCAGGTTATACACGGTTGGACTTGGTAAGAAAATTTTCAGTCTTAGGGGGCACATTTCGGGTGGCTTGGTCTTTGAAGCATTTTTATGTGAGTTCTTGCGCTGGTAAGCTTACTGCCACACGCTGATAAACTAAAGGGTAGTGCTACACACTAATAGTTTGTGCTTTTTAGGTTAACAAAAGACGCTTAACAACAAGGACAAACTTGAAGGTAAGACTGGGGCCACAATACCGTGTACCACTGGAAATCTGTCAATCCGTGAATCGGTACACAATCATTGTTTTCTGTTCCACTACAATACATCCTCGAATCCGATCACCACGCTCCCGGCGTTATCTGACCAACACCCTTTCTCCTTACCAATCCCACACCTGCTCAGGAATCCCAGGCCGGTTGGCCAACTTTACTATTCTCAGTCATGCTTCTACTATCACTCTCATATCTCCCCTAAAACAGTTTGTGTCCCACATGCAGAGCCGCCACCCTACGTCTGGCTTTCATCGGCCCACCCAACCCTTGTCACGCCAGACAACCCGGCATACATTCCCCATGAAACGTTCGTTGGTCCTTCCGGTCAATAACAATCGTAGGAAGGACAAACAAGTCAGTCC